AGACAAGATTAATATGGCAAAATCAATAACAAAACGCTGACAGCTCCTTTGATCAGACATTGACTTTTTCTTGTAAAAATGTTGTAGATGGAAAAGTATAATAAAATAAATAACATAATATAATTATTAATTTCATTTTTCGTACATATTTGGTTTTCGATAAACCTTTTAAATTAAGCTTATACTTTACGTATTGGATCATCATAAAAATGGAGGCGTACATTTGTCATGTTATTCCAGAAACAAAACCAAATAAGTTGTATTTCTCATGCGCAAAATGTCAACTAATACAATTTGATATTTGATTTTTTTTACTGTGAAAGAAGTTTTTCGTGTTAAAAATTCAGTCTAGTACGTACTTTGAACCAAAATCAAGTCCACATTCACCAATTCCCAGAATTTTTGGATGTTGTAGACATCGTTCAATAAAATCAGCGCATGACGGATGCCATTTATTACTCCAATGTGGGTGAATACCACAGGTTCCATAGACACGAGGATCATCCAAATATTTAGAATAATGACTCCAATTTTCTATTAGCGAAAAAACAGACATAAAAAATAAGTGCTCTTTTGAAAAGAGCATACATAGAAAGACAGACAATTTCCCGAGCTTCTAAACGAGCTATTGCAAAGCTTCTCAAACATATACCCACATAGAACAATTGTCAAAATACTTCAGTTCAGTTCAGTTCAGTTCATACTAGACCGATGTCATGATTTTTACCCACCCGAACACTTTAAAAGAATAGTTCTTTGATGCTTCTACTCAGACTCGGAATGTTTTCTACATAGAAAAACTTGTAAGTAAGACAAATAAATAACAAAGACTGTGCCGAATGATTTTTTTTGAAATCAACATTTGACAACTTTTTCTCGTCTGAAAAAATTTACTTGAAATATTCTTATATCAATTTTCAAAAACTTTTTTCAATCACTCTTTCTCAATCAGAACACTCTTTTGTATTCAAAATCACAAACACTTTTTTTTCCAAGAATGAGTATTTCTAAGAACTATCAGTTCTTTGTAATCAATCGAAAAAGTTCTTTTATATACTTATCATAAAATGGTGTCTTGTTTTGACTTCATTAACGTCAGAACTCTCATGTCTGTTATCCAGATCATTAACTAACCTAAGCAAAGATAAGTAACAGACATTTTTCGAGCATGGATCCAGGATGCTATTATTAGTTCTAATCTGTTGCGAAGGGCTATTGCTTCATTTAAAGGGTGGGCCAGAATTACTGAAACGAATTGATAAACCGCTATTTTG